TTTTTTCATATTTTTTATTGATAATTACCATTTCTCTATGCCTATTATCACCCCATCTTCTCAAGCCCACATTGAAATTTTCCCATTACCTCATCCTCCACCACCTACTAACCTTCCCTTATCCCAGAGGTTTTTTTTCCCTTTCCCCTTTTTACAGCCCCTTCTCTCCTTTCAGTTTTTAATATTTATACATATCTTAGTTATGTGTTCCCTAAAAAAAATCTGAACTTAGAAATCCCATATGACCCAGCTATTCCACTTCTAAGAATATATCCCAAGGAAATCAGAACTGAGATACAAATGGACATTTGTGCATCTATGTTCATAGTAGCATTATTCACAATAGCAAGGAATTGGAAGCAGCCCATATAGCCTTCAATAAATTAATGTATTAAGAAATTGTATATTCACACAGTAGAATACTATGCAACACTAAGGAGAAGTGATTTTGTTAAATACTGTATAACTTGGGAGAGACTAGAGAGCATTTTGTTGAGAGAAATATCTCAGTGATTGACAAAGGACAAATATTACATAAGTTCCTTATTATGAAAATGCGAGAAAAACAGAGTAAGATGTGTTTTATTATTTCTTATGGGATCTCCTTGTATAAACCTCCTAATCTTTAGATTCCGCTTCCCATTTAGATTAGGGGCCCTGCTGACTGGAAGGTCTGAGCCACCAGCAGCTTCCCAGAAGAGACCAGAAATCTATTCTTACCAAGATTTCTGAAGCCCAGGAGCCTATGTGAGCAGTTCCACTCTGTCCTATAGGGTCATTCTGAGTCAGAATCAAATTGATGGCACCCAGACAGTGGTGTGCAAACTTGTCATCAGTTAGCTGTTGTGGCTGACTTCTGTCACTGATGTGATGGTTCCTTTATGGGTGAGGGATCATTTTGTGTGAATTTTGTTTTCCCCTTGACACTGTGCACTGATTTTGTGTGGGACCAGAGGACCCGGTGAATGCTTTCCGCAAGACGATGAAGGCCTGGTCTTCCATGTGTGAGCTGTAGTACAGCAGAGATCCATAGCTAGGAGTATCTTGTTGAAGAACAGCTGTTCTTCGTGGCTTCTAGGATTCTAGAAAGAAGCTGGATCTTTCTCTTTCAGCAGAGTACCATCATAGTTGTCTGCCTTTGACGCTTATGAAAATCAAGCAAATTTTTTACCAAAAAAAAAATCTTTGCTTTTTCATCACAAGCAGCAAACATTTGGACCTTGGGAAAAATTTAGGAAGCTTGTTGAGATACCCCTAAAAGATGTCAGACTAGACTGGCTACAGAATTTTCAGACCCCATGCAAATGAAAAAGGCTGTCTGTATATAGCCCCTTGTTTCGAGTTGCTAAGAATCTCACAGCAGCCCTGGTGGAACATGAGACCAGCGAGAGACATGTGGGGCGCTGTGCATTCGCTGCCAATGAAGCTAGCTGAGGTCAGAGACTGATGGAGAAGTGTCAGAAAATGGGAGTGAGGGCAGTTATAGCCTGCTGCTTAGAGACCCTGGTTGAGGAAGAGGGGTAGAACAAAACCTGAATCAACAGGCCTCTTCTACACAAATCCAGTCCAATCAGTGTCCTCTGTAATACTGAGTATGCAGACCCCTGCTGGCAGAGAACTGTTCTAGGGAGAATAGCCCCATGCCCGGTCTCACCTCTTCCATGCTGCAGGGGATCTGTGCCTTAAGTCTACAAGATGACTGCTTCAGTGAGGGGTTCCCACACACCAGGGCCTGATTTGAGCCCAGCGGTGGCTCAGAGCTGCCTGGTGATGTTTCCTGTCACCTCACTGCTGGAATGCCTGTGGAACCAGGGTAAAGTAGGTTCAGCTTCCTGATGTCAAACCTGGGGCTGACACGCAGGGTGGCCAGAGTAGGAGCTCTTTAAGGCCCTGCTTAAGTAGGAGCCATTAGCCAGGCCATGCAAAATGCTTTCCCCCTTCAGATTCAATATAACAGGGAGTTCTGGTGGCTTAGTCATAAGGAGTTTGTGCTGCCAACCCAGAGGCATACAGTTTGAATCTGTTCCGCAAGAGAGTCATGGGCACTCTCCTCCCATGTTATTCATAGCCTCTGTCAACCCACTGGAGGGTCAGCTATGAGTCAGTTCTGGCTCAGTAGTATATAGCAATACAGTAGAAGATTGGTTAAATAAATTATAACCGAGCAATTCATAGTCTTTAAAGTAGTTTTATAGATAGTTTTTCTGTTAAAAAATCTGATAAAAAATTGATAAAATCATGCATTTAGAGTACATTTAGTTTTGCTCAAGGTAGGTATATATAATGTGTGTGTGTGTGTGTGTGTGTGTGTGGTGGTGGTGGTGGTGGTGGTGTAAAGTCACCTGAAACTTATAGCAAC